TACCTTTGGGAGTCCATATCTTACACTCCTTTTTGGTACATTCTACCTTTTTCTTTGAAGTGTTCCCTGGAGTGATGTGGCTTATTTTGTACAACATTTTGTCACTGCTGAGTTTTTCACAAAATGGACGAATATGTCCTGGTGAAAAACAGTAATGACAAATGTATCCCCTTGTTCTGGACTCTGAAGTGGTGACTGTGAGATTCCTGGATTCCTTGCCATTTGAACCTTTCTCTTTGACAAAGACAATTTCTTTCTTCTTTACTGGCTTGTGTTTCTTCACTTGTTTCTTGAACCCTAGACCTTCCTTTTTGTTGTACTTTTCCAGTGACACAATCTCTTCGAGCTTAGTTGTGCCGGTATTCATCCTCTTGATTGCTAGAGTTGCTTCTTTGAGTTCATCTTTCACCTTTGCCAGTTCAAGATCCTTTTTGGTGATACCAACCTCCAAATGTGTGATTGTTTCTTTAAGGGAAGAATTTTCCCTGTTGGCAGCATCTAGAGCTTGAGTCTTCTTCTCCAAGTTTCTGATCAGCTTTTTACACATTTCTTCATCATCACTGACTGCTTCATTACTGGATTCTGCTGCATTCAAAGAAATAGAGTTTAAACATGTATAATGATCAGTATTTAACTCACAAACTGAAAGTGTTTCAGAAAGTGTTGCAGCATCCAGGGAGACTCCTTGGGATTCTGTTTCAGAGGAACTTCCAGTAAGATATCTGACAGAAAGAGCTTGTTTAGAGGATTGCTGTTCCTCTGTCTGTTCAGGTTGTTCTTCCTCCTCATCACTGACAGCACAAATCAAACTCATTCCTCTTCTTCTCAAGGTATTTGCACATTCATTAGCATAATGTCCAAATCCTGAACAAGCCCTGCATTTAATATGATCCAAGTTAGGTGGTTCAGAATTTGAACGAATAAAAGAAGAATTTTTTAAATTGTTTTGAGAAGGTGTTTGAAGAAATGTTCTCTGTGGAATAGATCTGTTCCGAGGTTGAGTTTGACGATCTTGTGGAGAGCCATCTGGAAATAACTGTCTAGGCTTGATTCCACTTCGTCTGTACGCCCTATTGAATTTCTGAATCTGAAATGCCACATTGTTGAGGCATTCTTCTGCATCATCATCATATTCCGGAGCAACATCTTCCTTCTCTAATTCTGCCTGGAGTGCATTTGAGATAGCTTTTCCTTTCTCCTTTCTTTGATCTTCAAAGTTCATCTCCCTGGACTTTAGACTACCAATTAATTCGTCCAGCCGTAGAGATGATGTATCTTTAGCCTCCTCAATAGCAGTAACCGTCATGCTGAACCTTTCTGGAAGAGTTCTCAATACCTTATTCACCAGTGTCTCGTTGCTCAAAGGACCACCTAAGGATTGAAATTCATTAGCCAAATCAATCAACTTCTCATTGTACTGAGAAATTGTTTCAGTTTCCTCCATTCTCAGTCTCTCAAATTTGGAATAGAGTAATCTGAGTTTGGTTCTTCTGACACTATCTGATCCCTCACAATGTAGCTGCAGAACTTCCCAAGCATCCTTTGCAGAGGTGCATACAGAAATTAATTTAAACATTGTTAAATCTACTGAATTGAAAATTGCATTTAACGCCTTTGAATTTTGGTTAGCATTTGCAAGATCATCTGGTGTCCACCGTAATTCTGGAGTTGGAAACACATCCGCGTCCACGTCTGTGATAGTTGGTGGCTTCCATCCAGTGAGAATAGATCTCCAGGCTCTCTCATCAATGGCTTTGATGTATGCCCTCATCTTGACTTTCCAGTAGGTGTAGTTTGTGCCATCAAGTACAGGAGGTCGCATAGAAGCAGTCATCTGAGTATCCATCACGAATTCGTTTCTGTAAAGAAAATAGGAACAAACACTTAGTATACGTCAAGTGTTGGCTCTTGATGCCAATTGAAAGAATTTATGGTCCCGAATTCGTATTATACAGAGATGTTATCTGAGGTGTTGTGACACTTGAGATAACATGCAGCGGAAATATACAGATTAAAAGACAAACACTCAGAAGTAAAAATGTTCACAAGTAAAGACTTGTGAACTTGCCCTTTACAGGACGGAAAAATATATTAAAATCAGTATTCTAAGAATACAAACAGAAGAGGTGCGAAAACTTCTTCCTTATGAATGAATCTTTTTCAAGATCATTCTTACAATCAAATCTAGATACTAAAAGAAAACTATTAAAAATTCTAGATTTCAAAGAATGTACTCTTAAAGAGTACGTACAACAGATCCTAGAGACACTCTAAAAATATTCAAGATCAGCACTTCAGCACACTCTATGTTTCTTCGAAAATCTGTATAAATCTTGAGTCTTGAGTTTGGTATTTATAGACTTGCCAAGCTTCCACTCCTCAGCCCATGATCTGCAAGAAAACCAACCACAAGAGCACTCAAGATAATGGGTTAGTGGGTTAGTTAGGAAGTTAGAATAAAACTCACAATTAAACCCACTAATCACTACTTAGCCCACTAAGTCATAACACTTAGGCCACTAAGTAATAACTAAAATTTAGTTTGAAAGTAAGAGAGTTAAAAAACACTTTTGTAAAATATAACAACGTGTTTCAGCTTTAATATTGCTTCTTCTGATATTTTGTTTTGGGTTTTCAATCTAGATCTCACTGGAGAATGAAAAATGGTTGTTTGGGTTTAAGGATTGTTGATAGGATGAAGTCGCAAGGTATGAGATGAAATGGGATGAGGTCACAAGGATTATAGGTTGGTGTGGTGTTGCGACGGCGTGGGAGGCAAATCTAGGATTTGGATAGATCGAGCGGAGGATGGAGCGGACAAAGAAAATTCCCACAGGTTTGAACCCACAATTGACTACGTCAATAACGTAGTCGATTAAGGTTTAGTCGACTATGTTCAGCAGTCGATTAAAGTTAATCGATACGTTTTTTATTCACTATTAATTGAGTTTGTGTTGGGTTTTATTTTACGGCATTAGGGTTGTTATTGTTACTTTTAGTTGTCAATTTCATTATTTGACAACGATTAGAGCTAATTGCATATAACTCCCTGTGTAATTTCGAATGGCTAAAAAACCTCCTATGTTAAAAAAATTAGCAGGAACATACAATGACTAATTTACCCTTACGAAAGAAACATGAAATTGTTAAAAAAAAAAGTTAAAAAAGGAATTTCGAACAAAACTCAAAACAATCTTCCCCAACACAGTGGAAAGTCTTATTAAAAAAAAGGAAATCTTACAAAAAAAAGACAGTGTGAAAAAAAAATGAGCTATTGTTTTTTTTTTTCTTTTTTTTTTTAATAATTATTCACTCAAATCCTCCCCAAAACATTCATCTCCTTAGATTTTGTATAATTTTTCAGTAATCATTCCGCACAACTCGCCAGAATCGAAGTGTTACTGTTCAATTTGGCCGGAAAATATTTGCCCACATCGAATTTACCTTTAACCAGGCCCCCACCCTTATTTCTCGCCGAAATAACTCACGTAGTCAGATCCGGTTCTTCTCGCCGGAAAAATGTTGTTGAAGGACGCATGTGCTGAAAATCCTCCATTACCGATGAACGGCGGAGGGCTGCGGGGTTCAAGCACTTGGCGTTGGTGAAGAAAAGTTGTCGGTGGAGGAGAAGATGGGAGAAGGCCGGCGGTGGGAGGAAAGGGGCGGCTGTAGGAGGAGGAAATTTGGGAAGAAAACGAGTTAAATTGAGATCTATTTTTTTCTTTTTTTTCTAATTGAGTCTATTTTTCTAAATTAGGCTGTAGAATTTTTGTTTTGCGTAAGAAATTTTGAAAATTATAATTAGATCCAAAAGTTTCTATTATTTACATTTAAACCCAATTAGATATATGTTTATTTATAAAAGAATTTAAGAGGGTATTTTTGACTTTTCACGTTAAAAATTACACTCTCAGTTACACAAGCCGCGCGTACAACACACGACATGCTGTCAAGGACTTTTTCGCCTTTGACTAATTTTCATCGGGGGGTTCCTGCTAATTTTTTTAACACGAGGGGTTTTTCGGCAATTTGAAATTACAGAGGGGTGGTTCTTGCAAAAAACCCCAACGATTATGGTAGTCAGTTCCTTAATCGACTATGACATTTATTTAGAAGGTCATTATTTCGTATGAGCCAGAGCAATATGATGAATCACACAAGTTCTGCATCATGAACCTTTTACTGCCCCTATTGCTTAGACAGGTTCTAGAAAGTCAATGTCGAGACGAGTTGGGAAATAGAATAAGAACGGAGATACAAAGAAATGAAAGGATATCAAATTCCCTTTATTTTAATTTGAATTGTATCTGAATCGAACCTTGTCTATTTAAATGATAGTCAATTAATACACCTAACAACAAAAAAAGAGTTAAAAAAAATATTATAAGTAATAAAAGATAAAAAAAAACGAAATTACACCTGAAAGCGAAAAAAACTAAAAAGTTCAAAAATAAAAAAATAATAATAGAAAAATAAAAAATAAGAAATGAAAATTAATTAAAAATAGAAAAAGAGAAAAACAAAAAATGAGATGGGAGTAATGGGAAGAAGATGGTGGAAGGATAATTTTGGGATAATAAAAGAAAGAAAATGAGGATAGACTTTTCTCAAAGAGTGAAATGTTGAGTGTGTCTCTCCCGACTTCTGCTGCCACGTATCATTTTTGTATTTTATAATATATTTCTCCGCTTGAGTTTATCTTTATGGGTTTTAGAAAAAAAAAAATATATATATATATATATATATATATAGCAGCAGAAGACCTACAAGGTGTTTATCACTGGGTGTAAGGTCGAAGGAGCCGTCTCTCCCTATTAAAATAAATATTCTCCCAATTAGCCCCTTTTATTATCCAAAACTCAAAAAGAATGTTTAAGTTTGAAGAAAATCCAACTGAGTCACTACAACAAAATATGTTTATTAGGACACTTTTCTTGAGATACTTATTGACAAATGTCCAATAAATAATTTATTAGGACATTAATAACATTGTATCCCAATACATAAACTTTTTGGGATGCTTAAAAATTAGCTGGATCTAGAAGAGCGAAAATTATTCCTTAAATTTTCATTTTAGCGCTCAAATTTTTCCATTTTTTTTCTTCTCTCCATCGAACTCTCAATTTTACTGTTTACCTCTCTTGTTCTTCCCCAATTTACCGACGACGAGTCTATCCTTATGGTAAAAGTATCAATTGTTAATAAATTCTTTGATTCTATCTCCCCGTTTCCCTAATCCCCTATTTTCTTAATACTAACAATTCCCATGAATCTCCTCTTTTCTAAATTCCCTAACACGCCCAATCTTCTCCAACGCTATTGAAACCCTAACTCATGATTTATTTATTTTGTAGAAGATTGTTGGTTTTTTCGGATTATTGAACGAATTGACGGCATGTGGCATCTCCGGCGGCGGCTTGCAAATAGAGCTGTAATTTCCAAGGTGAACTCATGGTTTTTTAGGTTTTTTCGGATTATTGAACTCATGGTTTTTTAGGTTTGGTTTTTCATGGGACGGAGTGATAAGTACATTCGAATTTCCATATTATCCAAGGTGATTTAGAGAGAAAGAAAAGGGTAAAAAGGGGTCGAATTGTTTTTGTATTTTTTTTCGTCAGTTTTTTTATTCTTTATCGTTTCTCGTTCTGTTTGATGTATTTCGGCTTTTATTTTTTGTCGCTTGTAAATCTTGGTGTTGTTTAGCTTTGACGTGAAATAGTTACATCTCGCTGAAAATTCTACATAACGATTATCAGTACCAACTAGTTGGCAATTGAGTTGTTTTGAATAGTTGTAGAAGATTAAGAACATTTGTAATGCTGGGGTACCTGGTAATCTCATAATCTCTAGTTGGAAAAAAAATCAGATTGGGTTTTCCTATGGATTTTCTTATTGCAAATTAAATTCTTGACTAATTAACTCCAATGCATTTTAGATTTTCTTGCAGTTAGAATTTTAGTGCAATTTTTATTCTCGCAGGTTATTTAACCATTTGCAATGTTTATCTAGTTATCAAAGACTTTCCTGTTGATGTTAGTGACATTTTTGAATACTAATTTAAAAGGCTGAAGCAACTTAGGTATGCTATCATGTAATAACTAATCTATATTTGTCCTTCTTTTGAGGACATTTTCGTGACTGTTTTTAAAATTAAATATTTCCTTTTTTTTCCTACTGGTTTAGTGATTATATTTGTTTCTTCACCAAGTGCTTCGTAAAGCTTTGACACGTCTTTTTGAAGAAAAGTTGTTTCTTCATCAAGTGTTATTTTAGTGATTATATTTGTTTATGCTACTTTTCAGATAAGATGGCTCTGTTGGACTTATCTATTTTCAAGTACTGATCATTTACAATACTCGTCCTTAACCATTTGCTTATTATTTTTTTTTTTGATTGGTTAACAGTTTACAGATGCAGGGCAAGTATGGAATCACCAAGGAAGATTGTGTAAGCACTTTTTTACATATATTCACAAGAATGATGAGAATAAGTAATGTAACAATACGTGGTATTATGTTGGTCTATCAACTAAAAGAACAGCCAAAATATAAGCATTAGATAATCTAACCTATTTTGTAAAAGTAAAAGGTAAACTTTTTTCGGGTAGCCTCCCAAGATGTCTATCTCATCTCAAAAGCTACATTAGAAAGAATGTTTAGGTTTTGGATTAATTTCTTCTATGCTCTTTCTTATAAGGATGATGACAGGGTATGCAAAAATTGCACGATATCTTTCTTCATTTTTCTATTTTGCATATATAAATGCCATATTTTGTAGATAATCTTGATCCCATCTGCTCATTGTAGTTTTCATATTTATTTTCCACCTTGTCATCTTGTGGCGCAGGAAGCTGGAAAATGAAGAACGTACTTCTCTATTGCAGGTGACATAACTAATTATTAGGAACGTGGGACCTACATTCCTTTATATGTACGAGAACAAAATGATATATGTTCGGATATTTTAGTAAGTAGAATATATTGGAAAGCAGTCTCTAAGTTTGATAAGTCTGTCATTTCTAACTTTTGTCTGACTGCAATCTTTGAATTCATGCAAAATTCATATTAGTTGTATCCTTGTTTGCTTCCCAATTAAATGAGTTAAACTCAAATGTTATTTAAGTTATTTTTCAATTGATTTGTACTTATAACGAACTATTTACTTACATTGTGTCTCAGCAAATGGAAGGCATTCAAGCTAGCTACTCTTTCTGGTTTCGTATCTTCTGGTAGGTTGGTGTCTTGGAACTTATACTTTTCTAGAATTTGTTAGTTTCATTTACTTGTAAGTTTGACTTTGATTTATCCATCTTATGTGCAGGCAAGTTGGTTTGATTTACTTGTAAGATTGATGCTTCTGCATATATTGGACAGTTAGAGCTTTCACACATGTTATTTGAGCATGATGTTTGGAAGGTGAATTATTCATTTTTCCTACTGCTAGAAAAGAATATTGTACTGATAAGTCATTTTTGAACTCTATTAATTTTATAAATATTCGATGAGATTCTATTGTAATCTCATAAAAATTCAGACAATGAGTTAGTTTGTTGAATTAACAGTAGATTTGATGATGTTAGAAATTTTGTTGCACCTTCAATATATATGTATTTTTCGTAACATTTATGCTTTGATTATAATAGTTAAAATTTAATTGTAATTTTATTATTTATTGCGTGATTAAATATTTTATTCTATTTGAAAATCTGTATTAAAAGAAACATATTATAGGACAACTATTTATGCCTCAAATTATATTGTGATATTTATAAATGTCTTAATATAATTATTATGGGACATTTATTTTCGTCTATAATTATGTATTGATATTTATAAATGTCTCGATATAATTTTTATGGGACATTTACATGTGTCTCCAATTTCTTAATGGGACACTTATTTGTATCTTATTATTTATTACCAAGACATAAACAAGTGTCTCTATAAGACACTATGTAGGGACACTTTAAGTGTCCCAAACTTTATAGGACACACATACATGCGACATTTATAATAAGTATCCCAAAAACTGTAAATGTCCCAATACATGCCATGTTGGGACACTTTTCAGTGTCGCCATAAGGACTTTTTGTTGTAGTGAGTCATTTTAAAATATATATTATATTATGTTTTACTATTATTTTTTTAATAAAACTCTACAAATTCTTTATGAGCAAATAATCCTTATTAAGCAATTCCAATGAGCAGATATATATTCTACAAATATATATATATATATATATATATATATATATATATATATATATATATATATATATAAACAAAAATATATAAGATTGGGGCTCGATTTTAATGTCGCCTAAGGCCCCGGAAACCCTGGGGCCGGCCGGCTCTGCTCACTGATACCAACATTTAAGGGAAAATACCAGTTATTCTTAAATTAAAAAAAAAAAAAAAAAAAACAGAACAACCGCTATATAGAAGAAGGCAAAGCAAGAACCCTGAAAAAAACATAATGTAATAATAAACATCAGTCGAAAAGCTTCAAGAAGTTGAAATTACTCGTTTGGAAACATCATCCCAATGAAAGGCCTTGTGGCAGCCACATGCGGCACATTCTAATGCCGCCTCATCGTTGTCTCTAGGGTAGAATTTTTGGTATCCATCGCGCGAATCTTCGTTCTTAAAATCATGTGAAAGAATTTATGGTCCCGAATTCGTTTAATGCAGAGATGTTATCTAAAGTGTTATGACACTTGAGACAACATGCAGCGGAAATATAAAGATAAGAAGACAATGCTCAGATTTAAAAATGTTCACAAGTAAAGACTTGTGAACTTGCCCTTTACAGGACGGAAAAATGTATTAAAATCAGTATTCCAAGAATACAAACACAAGAGGTGCGAAAACCTTCTTCCTTATGAATGAATCATTCTCATGATCATTCTTACAATCAAATCTAGATAATAAAAGAAAAATATTAAAAATTCTAGATTTCAAAGAATGTACTCATATGGAGTACGTACAACAGATCCTAGAAACACTCTAAAATTCTCGAGATTTAAAACTTCAGCACTCTTTTTGTTTCTTCGAAATCTGTACTATTCTTGAGTCTTGAGTTTGGTATTTATAGACTTGCCAAGCTTCCACTCCTCAGCCCATGATCTGCAAGGAAACCAACCACAAGAGCACTCAAGAAAATGGGTTAGTGGGTTAGTTAGGAAGTTAGAATAAAATCCAAAATTAAACTCACTAAGCACTACTTATCCCACTAAGTCATAACACTTAGCCCACTAAGTAATAACTAAAATTTAGTTTGAAAGTAAGAGAGTTAAAAAACACTTTTGTATAAATAACAACGTGTTTCAAACTCCCCTTTTTTAACTTTCTGATCAAAACTAAATTTTAGCTAAAACTCCCCCGGAGATATTGCTTGAACTCCCCCTGAATTTGAAAGTATCAAAAATAATATAGAACGAACAATTCAAAACAAATTCTGCAAGATAGTCCAACAAAACTTAAACAAGAAATAACCAAAGTGCAGTCCTAATTAAAAGTTCAGGGGAAAATAAAAAACAGAACAAAATCAAAATATTGTTCATGAAAACAATTAAGTAGAATCTCCAAAGTCTCCTCAGTGTCAGCTGCTGCTCCTCCATCACTAGCACTGGATCCACTGCTCTCCTCTTCACCCTCATTCTTTGCTCCTTCTTCATTAACTCCTTGCCCTCTGCCTCTGGCATCCAAAGGGTGAGAAGTTCCTGCTTCAGCTTCATGACCTTTTTCTCCCCCTTTTTGATCAGAAAGAGCCTTTTGGAGCATGTCCACCATGGACTGGTGATAGGTAATCTGAGCTAGAGAGTGAGTAAGCTGTTGTAACAGAAGATCTCTAGGAACAGACACAAGAATGTTAGAAGTGTTGTCAACATTGGGAGCAACCCTTCCGTACCCAGATTATTTTGACCTGATTCAGTTGAGAGAAAATTATCTCCATTCCAGGGAAGATCTTGGACATGAGGAGCTTTTAGAAAATTTTGAGATACAGTGATCATGCCTTGTGGAGTGTGAAGATATTCAGAGTCATCTTGGCCCAAGTTTTGAGAGAGTAAAATGGAATAGATGAGAGAAGGATAAGGAAGATGAGTAGAGGGTGAAATTTTCTAGGCAAGATGACCTATAGTATTAAAGAAAAGTTTGCCAAAATCAATTGGTAATCCCATCCCCAATTTGTACATGAGTACTGCATGAGGTTTAGTTACCACAGAGACATTTTTGGATGGAATCCAATTCATCACTGTGAGTCTAAACAAAACAGAATAGAAAGCAGTGAGTTGAGAGACCTTGAATTGTCTTGGGTGTGCAGGCTAATTTTTTAAACGGTTTCCAGATATAACTTTACAAACCTCAGTAAAATCACCATAATTATCCTCATCAATCACAGTAGGAGTTTGTAAATGAGAGTTGATAATTTTGGGAGAAAAAGAGAAGATGGAATTTCTCACAAAAACATTGCCAAAGTTTGGAGAGTTTTTCTTTAAAAAGGAGGTTTGCAAATTGGCATAAAATTCCTTCACAACAGTGGGATCGTAGGAGCAGGCAATCTCAACTAGGCTAAGAATATTTCTTTGATGAAGAAAAGCTGTGATCCTATGCCTATCAAACTCTTCCTTGGAAATTTTCTTTTCCTCAATGAATTGACAATTCATGACTTGAGGACTCAAAATGGAATCATATTCAAAATAAAAATTAGGACTGAAGGCATTGTTTACCTCAAAAGGGGTTGACAAATTCTTCCCATCCAAGTCTGGTTCTTCTTCTTCTTCTGAGGAGTCCTCATCTTCTGAATCTTCCAGTTCATCTGGAATGTATGCTGGTTTAGGTGATGCAACAGGTGGGAAAACATCTTCTTCCTGCTGAGAAGAGTCTTCAGAAGATTCACTATCTGGATCTGAGGGGGGCAAATTTTTGCGAAAAGCAGCTAGATGAACCTCCCAGCTGTCATCACTTTTCTCTGGTTTTTCAGCCTGAGGAGGAGATGCATCGGCTTGAACTGCTGCTTCTGCCAGGGTTTCCAGAGGATCTACATGCTCTGCAGAAGACATCCCAGAAAAATCAGGCATTTCTTCATCCTGATAAGGAGCAGCATCCTCAGCAGCATTCAGAGGAACATTTGCTGAGACACTGGGTGCAGCAGCATCTTCTGGAACATGTGCAGCAACACCTTCAGGAACAGGATGTTGAGAGGCTGTTGTTGCCATGTTGGGCTGAGATGTCTCCCCCTGAGTTGATGCTGGGGGAGGTGAGTCGTTGGATGATGACTCAGAGGAGCTGGAGGACAGAGCTTGAGCCTCTGGTGCTGCAAAAGTAGGATCCCCTTCATCATCATCAATTTCTTCATCCACCAAATGAAGGCCTCTTGGTGGATTTGGCCGAACTGGAGTACGGCCACCTCTGCCTCCTCTTCTTCCACCTCTGCCTCCTCTTCTGGGAGAGTTTTCACCCCTCCGGCGTTGTGACCCAGCAGTATTCAGATCTGGAAAGGGGTTCATGCGCTTGGACCGCGAGTTGGAAATCTTCCGGCAGTGGAAGAGGGACCCACAAAATAGAAGTTGCCTGGGTCAATCGGATTCAGCTCGTCTCCAGGCTCAATGTAGCTGATAGAAAGAGCATCAAGGTTGACCGGATGAACGATGATGGCCTGATTTGGGTCTCCTGGTTCAGGTGCTGCAGCATCGTTGTGGACATTATCTTCGGCTGGAAGGGGATTTCTAGGTGGAGATGCCATGATACAGTAGATAAAAAAAATTGCTTCTTTGTGCTTTTGATTTGAGAGTGTGAATTTTTGAAAGATTAAGCACGAAATTTATAAGCCCTAATTTTTGCTAAGAAAAATCGAAGTGGAGAAGATGAAGAAGTGGGGTGCGTTTTTCTTGGAGAAAGTGTGATTAAGGAGAATAAAAATTTCTTTGGCAGTTTAAGGCAAAACGTGACACATGGCACAATAAGCAATGGACTTAGTGGAAAATGAAAGACTAACCCATGTACCCATGACCCATATAAATAGGAATAATTCAAAAATAAAAATAAAATCGTGTAGCACTCATGAATTATTCACAAAAATAAAAAAACATATTTATTAATGATTAATAGTGAGAAAAATAAATTAGCTAACAGCAATTAATAGTGAGAAAAATAAATTAGCTCCTCCATGGTCGTAGCATGTGTTGTCATGACGGGGGACACCTCAGAGTAATTTGATGTTGAATGGGACCTGGATGATGAAGCATCTCCTCTAGATCCTTCCACGTTTTCACCTGTGTTGACGAGAGCTGATGAGCTTTTCTCAATGATTTGCGGCGTCGAGCTAGTCTCAGAGGATGCCTGCAGTTTCTTAGCCATACTCCTTGTAACTACGCCCACACTTGATGAATTTGAAGTAGCAGCCTTCATCGCGAAATAGAGCAGTTACTGCAATTCTTCGAGGATCTTCGAGAGAGAGAAGAGATGAGAGGTAGAGAGGTCCCACTGGGCGTGCTGATAAGTGTTTATTTTGCATGATTTTTACTTATCAATTCTTCAAGTTTTGGTCTTCGTTCGTCCGAGTTTTCGGCTTTATTTGTATATATTATGTTGTTTTTGTTTTATTTATATTTTAGGTA